AAGGGGAAAAATGAGAATCAAGACCTGTCATATAAAGGTACAGGATCCCAATAATGAATGTAACTGTACTGTACACCTAGATTGTACCAATAAACTCAATAAAAAGAAAAAAAATGCCTGCAAATAGACTGGCTCCCTTCTGAGAGGGAAGAAATTTGAGCACTTTTTTCCATAGCTCTTCATCCCCTCAAGAAAAGCACAAATGTATTCAGTTCCAAACTACATACCCACACTACTTTTTGAGTGTGTCCTGTACTCTCTGTCTTTGCCCAACAAACCCTACTTGTGTCTCTGGTGCATCCTCAAAATTCATTTTCTGCAATGAGAGTCAGCGAGCCTGCTACAGCAGGGTGGTTAAATTGGAGAAGACTCAGACCCAGCGTGCCTGTAAGTATCTTCTATGATGTTCACATAACAAAATCACTTAATGACAGTTCACAGAATATTTTCTTGTCACTAAGCAACACAGGACTGTATAAGAGAAAATCTGGGCTGGGCATGGTGGCAAACACCTGTAATCCTAGCATTCTGGAGGCCGAGGCAGAAGGATCTGTGTGAGTTCCAGGCCAGCCTGCACTACACAGTGAGACCCTGTCTCATAAAACAAAACAAAACAAAGGAGAAAATGTGTGACACAAAAGAAAAAGATCAGTTCTCTTAAGTAGATAATAGTCAAACATTTCCACACCAAGAATGCATTAAAAAAAACCAAACAATTCTGCTTGTGAAAAGGAAGTTTAAGTAAATTTAAAAAGACAAATGACAAAAAAAGATGAAAAAAAAAAAAGACAAATGACAAACTGAAAAAATTTTGAGAGTCAAGGGCAGAGGGCCAATTTCCTTAATAGAAAAGAAGGGGTAAGAAAACCCTAACAATTCAAGATAATATTTCACAAGAAAGAAAACACAAATAGATTTTTCTTTTTTTTTTCAGTACTGTGGATTGAACTCTGGACCTCAGTACCATGTGAAGGAGGCACCGAGCCACTGAGCTAAATTCCCAGCCCAAACACAAATAGATCTTAAGCATATAAAAATATGATCAAACCCAACCATGAGAAGTGAAAATTAAAACAATACTGAAACATGTTAGTTCAGGTAGAAGATGAGAAAACATATTGATGAAAGAAATAGACACTAACAAATATTGCTGGTAGGAGTATAAATGATAGAATCTCTAGGGAAAACAACCTTGTAAGATCTTTCAAAATTACAAACATACATGTGTTTTAACTCAACAACTGTGCTTTCAGGGATTTATCTTTTATATATGTAAAGCATTTGTAACAACAATGCAAGTGCTTAAAGTGTGAGCAATTGCTTTGCAAGTACTGTATGCAAAATATTCACTGCAACACCATTTGCAACAGCTCATAACTAAAACGACCTAATTCTCTGTACATCAATAAGGGACTAGTTAAGTAAATTATATATGTACAGTACAGTAGTATGGAAAAGATAATGACAAAACTCTATGTATACATGTAGAAAACTTACTAAGCTATATTTTAAAAACAGCCACAAGGGGCTGTTGTCACTAAGCAACACAGGACTGTATAAGAGAAAATCTGGGCTGGGCGTGGTGGCAAACACCTGTAATCCTAGCATTCTGGAGGCCGAGGCAGAAGGATCTGTGTGAGTTCCAGGCCAGTGGTAGAATACATATTTAGAATGCAATGCTCTCGGTTCAATCCCCAGAATAAAAAAAAATGAACAAAAGTACAAAATATTATGTACAGAACACTTTGAATTTTTAAAAGGTACATATTTTTGTGTATGTAATATACATATATACAACAGATATTTATATGAATAGATATTTGTATTTGCTCTGTGTGTATGTGTGTGATGCTGGAGAGTGAATCCAAGGCCTTCCATATGTTAAGTGTGTGCTTTACCACTGGGCTACACACACAGCCCTGTATTTGCTTTTATATGCACAGTATATCTGAAAGAGATATCAGTATATATCTGTATATAAGTACAACAGATTGATAATATTGATCACCTCCAGGAAGGGGAATTTAGTGGCTAGGTACAAGGGTGGAAAGATTATTTTTAGCCATACATTCTTTTGTACCTTTTGAATATTTATTTGTACAATGAATTATAATACTTATCCAAAAGAAAGGGGCTAGGGATATAGCTCAGTGGTAGAGTACATGCCCAGTATGTGTGAGGACTTGAGTTCAATGTGAAACACTCCACCCCCACAAAAAAGATAAATTATAACTGAATAAAAGCAGAATATATAAAGGGTGAAAAAAATCAAACAACATAGAAAAGTGTACAGTGAAAACTATACAGTGTCCTTTTGTCCTCGTTCCCTAGAGGTAACTGCTGTTTTAGGTCTCTTTCCTAAAAAGAATGGTTCAGGGGGTCTTGAGGGTCAGTCTGGAAAATTATTTTAAACAGAAACCCCACGATTCTCAGGATGAGGTAAGTTTAAGAAGCAGTTCTCTAGTCAGCTCATGCAGCATGACCATTTATTCCTAGCAAAATAGAATCTAGAGGGGAATGTGGCCATTAAATATTGATCAGGGCAAAGAGAATATGGTTTCTAGGTACAATGACCCTCAGAGTAGGAAGCACCATTGATCAATTTACACATTTATGATAACTGCTGCCACCTGCACACATGCAGTCTTCCAGTGTCTGGCCCAAACTGATCCAGTTTAGCTGTTAACCTTAAAATTTTCTAAAAGGGTAAGATGATTTATGGGAGATTACATCATAACATATCAACTAATTAGAAAAGCAGCACATCTGAGTCTTAGTGAGAGACGTATTGGGTTTGTCAGCACAAGCTTGTAATCCTAGAACTCAGAAGGCTGAGGCAGGAGGATCCCTGTGAGTTCCAGGCCAGCTTACACTACATTGAGAGACCCTGTAAAAATTGAGATATGAGATTCTGAACAATTACCTATATAGCTCTGAAGTGCTGGTCCACCGTTCAGTTGAATGAATATGAATTAAAGGCCAACTGTGTGCCAGAATGCAGAAAGCATAAAGTAAGACACAAAATGCATGTTATAAGCAAAGGGTGCCATGGGAGCAGATGAAAGGCATCTAACCAGTCAGTAGTGTAATGTTTTTTAGAGGAAGTGTCATCTATTTATTTTTTTTCCAGCTTTAATTGAGTTTATTGGTACATTTTAGGGATACAGTACAGTTACATTCATTGTTGGGATCTTGTACCTCCACATGACAGGTCTTGGTTCTCATTTTTTCCCCTTGTCCCTGCCCTCCCTTCACCCCTCCTCCCCTCCCCATCTACATACACTTTATTTCCATCTTTTCATTATCTCACATTTTTTTCTTTTCCCTTGTTTTTGTCTGTTGTTTTGAGACAGGGTCTTGCTACTTGGTTCAGGCTGGCCTCGCACTCACTATGTACCCCAGGTTGGTCTCGAATTCACAAAGATCCTGTCTCCGCCTCTTTAAATGCTGGGATTACGGGTATGTACCACCATGCCTGGCATGTCACCTATTTATAAAACTCAGGGAAACAGCTCTCTACGAAAAATTTATGTCTCATTTATATCATAAAGTAGTTTAAAGCAGTGGATTTTAAAACAGGACTTCCCCAGGAGGAGACTGGACTAAATAACTTGAGGATCTGTGTCCCTACTTCCTCTTCAACCTGTGCTCGTCTCCATTTTATATATTCTATATTTTGACTTAAAGAGTTTTTTTAAGAACATTTACTATTAGAAACAAGGAATACTAATCACTAGGATATTTATTTCAAGAAGACTGGATTTTTTGTTTTTGAGATACGGTAAGTTCCTGACTTATAAGCAAGTGCCATCGTGCAGGAATATTTGTAAACTGGATTCATTCCTAAGTAGGACACAGTGAGTCTTATACATCTTTGCCACAAATATACAATGTAAAGCATAAAAAACACACAAAGTACTGTAAATTATTTTTACATTTACAGTTACCTTAAAATGGTGGCACAGTACAACTACACAGCTACTTCTGCCATTTGTTTGCATCTATGAATATTTATAATGTGAGGTCCATTCATACCTGTGAAAGTTCACAACTTGCATGCTTATAAATTGGAATTTACTGTTCTGGGGACTGAACCCAGGACCTTCACATGCTAGGCAAGAAGTCTACCACTGAGCTATACCTATAGCCCCAGGTTCAATTTTCAACCAGTATTTATTACACCAGGCACCAATCTAGGTATGGAGATGTAGCAGTGAGACAGACAAAATTCCACTGGGTGTGGTGGTACACACCTATGATCCCAGCACTCTGGGAGGCTGAGGCAGGAATATTACAAGTGCTAGCCTACCTAAGTATATAATTTAGTGACTTAGACCCTGTCTCAAAATAAAAAGAGCCAGAGATGTAAGTAATCCTCATTGTATGAGAGAAAGAGTGAGAGAATATGAATCCCTGTTCTTGTGGGGCTGACAATGTAGTGATTGATACAGTATTTCAAGATGACAAGTAGACTAGGAGATTTACGTGTCTTATTGATCCTTGAAGCCTTGTGAAATGAGTATTATATTCCTTTCATCTTTCTAAACATAGAACACTGATGGCTGAAAAATTTTAATAACTTGGCCCAAAACACAGCTAGCAATATGGCAGAACTTGGAATAGAATCCTGTGAGGACTAACTTGAAAATAATGCTTTTTCCATCAAGTATGTTGTTTCTCAAATAAAGGCAACTGGAAAACATTACGACTGATCTTAAACTGGATGTGGTGGTGTGGTGGTGCACGCCTGTAATCCCAGCACTCGGGAGATGATCATATTAAAAAGCTTTTGTATAGCAAGAGAAACCACCAACAGACCGAGGCAAAATTTTTACCAGATATTCAGATAAAGGATTATTATCTAGAATGTATAAAGAACTCAAAAAAAATCAGATCCCCCAAATTTAAAGACCAGTGCAAAAGTGGGCATCTGCAATGAAAACACACTTCTCAGATGAAGAAGTACAAATGGCAAATGAATATATGAAAAAAATGTTCATCATCAAATGCAAATTGAAACAATGCTGAGATTCTATCTCACTCTAGAAAGAATGGATTCTATCAAGAAATCAACCAATAACAAATGCTGAAAGGGGTATGAGGGAAAAGGAAACCTGCTTCACTGTTGAGGGGGAGTGTAGGCTGGGGCAACCATTTCCACTGAGTGGAAATCAGTGTGGAGATTTCTCAAAACACTAAAACTAGAGGTTCCATTTTACTCAGCTATATTCCTTGGTATCTTCCTGAAAGAAGAAAAAGCATTATAACACAGCGATATATGCACACCCATGTTTACAGCAGCACAGTCTGTAATAGCTAAATCTTGGAAATAGCCCAAATGCCCATCAACTGACAAGTGGATAAAGAAGATGTGACTTTTTTATACAATGGAGTACTACTCTGCCATAAAAAATGAGCTTCCGACATTTACAGCTAAATGGATTTTACAGCTAAACTTTGAGACCATAGTTTTTAAAATTAGATTTTATTAGTACTTTTTTATGTACTGGGGATTGAACTCATGACCTTGTGATTTCAAGGCAGCTGGTGGCACTACAAAGCTAAATCCGCAGCCCTTTGAGACCATACTCTTAAGTGAAATAAATAAGACACACGTTTAAATACCACATTATTTCTCTGGTGTGAGAAACTGAAAGTGAAAATATGGTCTGAAATGTATAATAGATGTTGGAAAATGGGAAGAAAGTGTTCAAGTATGAAGGGGAACAAGGGAGGAGGCAAGGAGAAAGGAAAGAACAAGAAAAAAGTGAAATAGAAGGGAAAATGGAAACAAAGCTTTTGTACATAGGGAGTGGAGGGGGCTTGAGCGGGGAATGGGATAAAATAAAATTTAATTTTAAAAAGATGTTCGATCTCATTGAGGAGCAGTACACAGAACTAGACAATCCTGAAGGGTGAGGGGAGGGGATGGTGGGATCAGAGCTCTGAGCATGGACTTGATGAAACCTTTGCCTTAATGATGCCTACTGTCTACGATTTGGTGTGCCATTTTGAAACTTGAATTCCCGCAAAGAATTTGGAGATGGAATAAGTAGCTTCTTAACCAGATACCACCTGTGGCCAGAGTACTGGTTACTGGTTGACTTATGGCCCCACCACACCCCAATACTCCTTGCTAAAGAGGCAATCTAATCAGCTCACTGAAAGCACTATGCATGTTTTTCACCTGGCTGACCAGAAAAAGGGATCTTCTTCAAAACCCTAGTCAAGAAAATCAATGGGTTCCATTTCTAATCCTAGGCCACACACAGGAATGTGGACTTACAGCCCTTATCTGTCTCTCCAAGTAGACTGGGTGGATATGCTTAAGAACAGATGGCCTGTTAACCATCAGATTTTAATTTTTTTACAAAAGCAGACAATAAAAAAATAAAGCTAGAGTAGTGTAATTTCTCAGGAGTGGGTGAAGAACTTTCCCCCTGACACAATGAGAACAGTTCCAGCAAAAACCCATGGTATAGGAAGGCTCTTTTTACAAACTCTTATGAGAGTCCCTATAAAGCAATAAATATTATACCCCCCCACAAAAAAGATGTCCAGTGCTACCACTCTTATTCAACATAGTTCTGAAAACATTAGCCAGAGCAATGAGATAAGAGAATGAAATAAAGGAATAGGACTGGAAAAGAAGTCAAATTATCATTATTTGCAGATGACATGATACTCTATGTAGAATACCCCAAAAACTTTACCAAAAGACTTCTAGATTTAATAACCAAATTCAATTGTATAGCTGGATGCAAAGTCAACAATCAAAAATCAATAGCTTTCCTGTACACAAACAATAAACTCACTGAGAGAGAAGTTAGGGAAATACATTTTACAACAGCATCCCTTCAAAATGAAATGCCAAATAAATAAATGTAGACACCTCCAAATACAAACACTTTACATAGTGTTTTTATATTTAAAGGAACTACTCTTAAAATATTTATAGAATTCTGGTATTTCAATAACATCATGCTCTATTTTTAGTACCAGAGCAAAGTAATTCAATATTGCCACTGCAATTCTTCTTTCACACCATGAACATTAATTGAGAAAGGCTAACTGCAAAAAATGCATTTGTTTCCCTAAAACACGTCAGAGAGCCTTTTCTAGAATTCAAGGCAACTCCACAATTGTGGGAATATAATTCAGGCCATTACTTTCATTTCTTGGAAACCAATTCAGCAAAGAAGTCAGCCAGTTTATTTCTTGCCAAATGAGTTTTGCAAAAGCATACATTTGTCATCAATGGACAAATACCACCACACACTTGGGAAGGTATTTTTCAACAACCTGCTTATATTGAAAGCATCTAAATGAGTTGTAAAGTCAAGTAAAGAAGGCAGATATCTTATTTTAATCTTCAGAAGGATGCTGAATGTTCTCTAGATGCCAAACAAGTCATCTTTTCCAGTACCTTGAGTACTGTG